GGAGTTCCGATGCCAGCGCCCTCCAAATCGATGTAGACGCTGCGAAGCAGTGGTCGTTGGACTGGCATCTCCCTCCGAATGACGAAAAGTGCGTCCATACTCCGTTTGTAGGAGACTCGGCGAATGCTTTTGTTATGCATGGTGAGAAAGTCCAGAAAACATCATGAGGATAGAGGCCAAAAGGATTGGGGGCATCTGGGTCTCCTCAAGCTTGCCCTTCTCACTGCACCATGAGAAATCGGCCCAGAAGAACCGCTCCTGGAGTACGCCAACCAAGTTGTCTACTCAGGACGCACGAAAGACGCCACTCTCATTGAGCGTATCCAGCGAGCCGCTACGAGAATGGTTGCCGGCCTCAAATTCGTGGACTACGAAAGGCGTCTCGCGATGCTTGATCTCTATCCCCTGGAGCACCGTCGCCTCCGAGGGGACCTAATTCTTACTTACGCCCTGTTTGAACAAAGCTTGGCAAACAGGTTTTTTTGCCGTTGACCCAGCGAACAGCCGGCGGGGACATAGTAAGAAAATTTTCAAGCTCAGAGCACACATTAATTACACGAATTTTTTTCCTCATTTCGAGTAGTAGCTGCGTGGAATGACCTTCCTCCAGCAGTTGTCTACGCTCCTTCTTGACCCAGTTTAGTGCGTGGAATGACCTTCCTCCAGCAGTTGTCTACGCTCCTTCTTGAGCCCAGTTTAGAGCACTATTAGACATTTATTTATGCGACTCCTCGCGCTGGCCAGCATACTGCCCCGCGCTGAGAACATAAAGAGCAGTGCTACACCCTTTTTCACTTGTGCCTTTCAGGTGAACGACAGCCACTGACCGACAAGAACAAAACCGACCCGGGAAACTTGGGCAAATGCCTCGATCCTGTGTATCAATCCGTGAATCCGTGAATCTGGACAGACCCATGTCTGGTAAATAGATAACATGGGGAGAATAAATCGTGAAACTCCTGTCTGGCGTGACGACGTAAGTGGGAAGCTAGACCTAGTGGAGTGTGCTACGTTGCGAGAATAGCATTCTATCCGACAACCCCAACGTAAGGTCCAAGACAAACTAAAAGTGCAGAGCGACAGTTTCTGTCTGGAGGCTTGGTAAGGGGGCACGCAAACATAATCCTTCGTGAAAGATCGTGGGTACTACAGACACTGGTTTAGTCGAGTAGAAATCGAAACGACCATCAGATGAATTCGAAGGCGTAGTGGATCCTCAGCTGTAAATCGGAGAATTTTGTACTGCGAAGGAGTCTCTAGTTGAGCCACTTTCAATGAGGTGATTGGGAAAATGTGAGCCATCACACTGTGGCAAGTAGAGTGTTCTGGCCTGGTGGGCAGTAAAAATCAGAGAAATATATCCCGGGGATGAGGGCGTCTTACGTGGAAGTTTGCCAGAGGACATCAGCAACAACACAACAGCTCTTATGGTTGTTTATGCAGCGGACACACACCACCACTTTTACAGAAGAACACTTTGAATTGAGGTAAAACATCAGACCATCCGCCAGCAAGGCGCGTAAGCATAGCATGTACTAGGGCCGATGGACGAAGTCGTAGTCGCACATATTTTAGATCCTTGTGGAATATGTGGTGTTAAAAGGCTATGCATAATGCAAGAGAAGTGCTATACAAGCTAACTGCTGACTGCCTTGATATCTCCCGGGGCCTGCAATGCTTCTACCAACCATCAAGATCCGCTGTAAATTGAACAAACTGATGGTAGATTTTAGGATGAATGCTATTTCATCTGCTATCTTGGCTTCATATTACGAGGAAGCCGTTTTATGCTGCATATGCCCCACAGGGTGCCTTGCAACCTGACGGGACATCGTTGATACGGGGTTCCCCGACTTCAAACCTCGGCGCAACCTCATACGTCTCCAATTTTTCCCTCTTTCTCATCTCATATCGAGAAATGGGGCTCGACTATTGAGGATCTTATCGCCTTGGTGCATGTCTACGTAGCCAAGGCTGACCTCACTTTCCCTTTATCTGCACGTAGGACCCGTTCCCCGTACATTCAACAACTTTGCTGCTCATGCTTTATCCAGAAAGATGGGAATTTTAATTGAGTGGCAACCTGATCAGGCACTCACATGGTGCACAAACGGTGAGCAGTTGTACGTCATCCTTGAGAGTTACAGTAGATCAACTTCCCTAACTTCCATAAAGTGAACAATTAGTTGGCAAATTCCTCACTCTGTTTCAAGAGCGATTATCACTTTCCATTTTAGGCATGCTCCACTTATTCGTTCTGGCGGCGGAACATAGGTTGGATGTTGGCGCCGAAACAGTGGAAAGGCCTCGGTCACGGACCAGACCTCAGGGATTAAACTTGCTCTCCTATATAGTCCTGTCCACGAACTTTGCAATTATCATGGTAGCTACCACAGTTGCCTAAACTGACGGAGGTGGAACCAAGTAAACTCCTCGCGGCCGAACCAATGTTGTGACACAAGTTGCGGCTCTTCTTCAGTTTCCACGACTAAGACAAATTAGGTGGAGTTTTACTGGGCATAATTGATCTCCGTATTTCAGATGTTCAGCAATCTCGTAATGATATAAAATGTCGTGTTGAACAAGATCGCATAACCGGGATTCGGATTCGTCTTTGGCACAAACCTAGGCCGAGTGACTGGAAGACGGTTAGGATTTGGCCGCATGAACTTCCTATCTTCCGAATCTGAACCCGCGTTTGTGTAGTTGTCCCTTCTACCACAACGCCACACGAACGCGTGGTCACGACCATGCATTGGTTCACCTGTTACCATAGGCCTAAAGATTCCGAAGGTAGTTTAGGCTTACACTTTTCATTCCCGTTGTTCGGCAAACTAGCTTCAGTTATAGTGGTAACGGCATTCTTGTGTCAACCCTCCACTGGGTGGACGCGATTTAAGCGTCACCTCAAAAATTTCGCAAAACATTCTTCGCGCTAAACTCCAAATAGTTGCGGATGTTGGTACGTTTCGTCTCTCAAGGGCGCCGGAGCTGGTTACTCCAATTGTAATAATATGCTCTGCTATCTTCAACGCAGGTTCGGCCTTGCCGCTTGATTGGCGGCGTTGCGGACAGCCAAGACGTTGCATTCATCGCAATTTCTGACCAAAGTGCTGAACCTAATAGCTAGTAAACTCTGAATATTGTTTGCGCTGTGTGATCGAACGGTTCGCTTAACTGACTAATAGACAGCAATCACGGACCATCTTTCGGACAGTAAATTCTTAAAAGCGAGCAAGTTATTTACTGGCACAAGAACGTAGTTTTTGGTCATGTTTGCTATGCAGGATCAGCTGTAAGGTTTACATGGATGACAGAATTCGGGCAAATAAACGGTGTCAGTGAATGCGTACGTCTCTAACTCTCTCGTAAATTCAGTGAAAGCTGTATGTGTATATGTATATGTTCAATGCAATGGGTGACAAAGCAAGCGTTCTTGCATAGCTGAACGTTGCTAACTGGTTTACAATTTTCGGAGGGTACCGCAGAATACCTTGTTTGTCAGAATATAAAGCCATCAACTTACTGATGTGCTCACGGTAAGAAAAGCCTTTTGGCCGGTCAATGTGGGTGGTTCCTCAACAGTGGGATGGTGGTTCACGCAACATGCTAACAGGTGGTTCAGCCGTATTTGGTGCGGTTTTGCGAAACGCCTCCACAAATTTGGAGTGCTCTCGTGGACCTAACGTGAGTGATATATTTGGGTTGGCCTGCACGTTGAAATCGATGAAGTAATCGAATATGCCACGTGTCTGATTTCCTCAGTTCAAGCGCACTGGTTTACAGGCTCGTTTATTCTCTTGAGAGGTCGGTAAGTCGTGCGTCTTTATTACTGTGCAAAATGCTCAGAAGGAAACAAATCCACTGGAGATAAAGAATCGTAAACCGAAAATTATTTTTTCACATTTGTGTTGGAAGGGTTATTACCAACAGGAGGGATTATTAGTTTGCCTTTAGAAGGCTAGCCTTGTGCAAACATTTTCAATCAAAACTTCCTCTTGAGAGGTCGGCAAGTCGTGCGTCTTTATTACTGTGCAAAATGCTCAGAAGGAAACAAATCCACTGGAGATAAAGAATCGTAAACCGAAAATTATTTTTTCACATTTGTGTTGGAAGGGTTATTACCAACAGGAGGGATTATTAGTTTGCCTTTAGAAGGCTAGCCTTGTGCAAGCATTTTCAATCAAAACTTCCTTCAGCATCATTATTTGTTCCGACACTCCCAAAATTCGAACTGATGCAGTAAGGCGCTCTACTGGATATTCCGGCATTGGATTTTACACAGCAGCGAAGCAAACAAAATACTCTGGTACGATTACACAAGCTATCGCGGCCTTTCCCGTCACACTTGCTCTCTTTCTCTTCTTCATGAGGGACATCCAGTCATTCGGTCATTCAATTGAAATAGAGTCAATCTTTCCTGTCGTCACTGAAAAAAGGCAAAGTAATATTATCATGCGAACATTTTCCCCAGTGATGATTAATCAAACACGGCAATCAAACATCTACGCAAAAGCAAATAACTTTGACCGCTACGTTATCGCCTCAAGCCGTGAATACATAATACTCTCATGTTTTGTAAGCCGTCACCCTGTTTGTGAACGTTAAGAAACTTGCAGTTTTCAGCCCACCTCTGTAATATATCAGTTTTGTTAAGGAAAGACCAAATGGCTTACGCAACGGTTCACCGGCTCTAATTTCCCGAGACAGTCGAGAAGTACGACCTCTGTAAGTTGTCTAGAGTTCCGTTGAAAGTCATGCGTGTGTACATTTTGGATTGTTGAACCTTCCACTGTTCAGAACTGTGTTCCATTACCTTTGTGGAAAGCCTGCCTTTATGGACAACTTTTGTGTCCTCGTACAAGGCGATTTCCTATGGCCAGAAACCAATGTAAAGGCCGGTATAGGTGCCTTTAAATTTAGGTTCGCATTAAAGACATCTTGGAAGCCAAAGTCTCCGGCTTTTAACAAAACAATCATAATTATTCTGACCATTCTAGGTTTCAAAAAATTAAAAACGACAGGATAAGGGACGGAGCATTAGCATCGTATTGAAACAGCTTGCAACCATCCTATACGCAGCCCTCTTAAAATAGATGGGGCTATGCTCTAGCCATGAGGGCCTTCCTTGCTCAATAAG